GCTATCTACAGATTTAATGCAATCTCTATTAAAATGCCACCAACATTTTTCAAATAGATAGAATAAATAATTGTAAAATTTGTGAGGAACCACAAAAGATCCCAAATAGCCAAAGCAATCTTGAAAAAGAAGAAAAACCCTGAAGGTATTACATTCCCAGATTTCCAGATATACTACAAAACTGAAGTACTCAAAACAGTATGGTAGTGGCACAAAAAACAGACACACAGATCAATGAAACAGAGTAGAAGGCCTGTATTAAACCCACACTTATATGGTCAATTAATTTTCAACAAAGGGGGCAAGAATATGCAATGGGAAAAAGACAGTCTCTTAGACGAATGGTGTTGGGAAAACCGGACAGCAACATGCAGAAAGAATGAAACTGGGTCACTTTCTTATACCACACACAAAAATAAACTCAAAACGGATAAAGGACCTAAATGTGAGACCTGAAACCATAAAAATCCTAAAAGCACAGACAATAATGCCTCTGACATCAGCCGTAGCAATATTTTCCTAGATCTGTCTCTTGAGGCAAGGGAAACAAAAGTGAAAATAACCTGCTGGGACCACATGAAAATGAAAAGCTTCTGGGGTGCCTGGTGGCTCAGTTGGTTAAGCATCTGACTCTTGATTTTGGCTCAGGTGATGGTCTCAGGGTCCTGGGATCAAGTCACGCATCCGGCTCCCCATCAAGCGGGGAATCTGCTAGTCTCCCTCTCCCTCTGCCCTTCCCCCTGCTTTCTCTCTCTCTCTTTCAATTAAGTAAATAACTCTTTTTTTAAATAACAAAAAGCTTCTGCACAGCAAAGGAAACAATCAACAAAACGAAAAGACAATGTACTGAATGGGAGAAGATATCTGCAAGGGTTAGTATCCAAAATGTCAAGAACTTACACAACACCAAAAAAACAAATGATCTAATTAAAAAATGAGCAGAAGACATGGGCAGACATTTCTCCATAGAAGACTTCCAGAGGGCCAAAAGGCACATGAAAAGACGCTCAACATCACTTTGATGTAAATCAAAACCACAATGAGATCCCACCTCACACCTGTGCCAATGGTTAATATAAAAAACACAAGAAACGATAGGTGTTGGTGAGGATGTGGAGAAAAAGGAACCCTCGTGCACTAGGGAACCGAAACTGGTACAACCAGGATGGAGGCTCCTCAAAAAAAAAAACTAAAAAATTAGTATATGATCCCATAATCCCACTATTGGGTATTTACCCAAAGAACAGGAAAACACACATTCAAAAAGATACACGTACCCCCATGTTTATTACAGCATTATTTATAATAGCCAAATTAGAGAGGCAACCCCAGTGTCCAATGATGGATGGTTAAAAATGTTGTGACATAGATATCTGATGGAATACTACTCAGCCATCAAGAAGAATGAAATCTTGCCATTTGCAACAACGTGGATGGAGCTAGAGAGTATTATGCTAAGTGAAATAAGTCCGTGGAAGACAAATACCATGTGATTTCACCATATGTGGAATTTAAAAAACAAAACAAAGAAAAAAATAAAGAAAGAGACAAACCAAGAAGCTGATTCTTAGCTATAGAGAAAAACAGCTGGTCATGGTGGCTGTGTGTGGGGGGTGTGTGTGTGGAGATTAGGTGATAGGGATTAAGAGTACATTTATCATGCTGAGCGCTGAGTCATGTACAGAATTGTTGAATCACCAATTGTACACCTGAAGCTAATATAACACTGCATTTAGCTACACTGGAATTAAAATACGGCAGTGACAGTAATGATCCCAACATAGCACGAGGCCAGCCAAGGAGACACATCTGTGAGCTGAAGCAGACCCTGCAGCCCTTTTGGCCACACCCACTTCTATTCATCACCGTATTTCTACTTTCACCTTAACATCCAGCTTAATTTTTTCAACTCATAACTAATAAATCCTCTCCTACAGGCCCCTATTTTCTCTGAATTGTTTTTTTTTCCAGTTTGAAACACACTTTGAATGTGACTAATGTGAGAAAAGCCAGATATGAAGGATTCATATTCATTTTCTTAATGATGCTTTAATAACACAAAATTGCTTTTCTGTTTACCTAAACTTCACCTCTTTAAACAGTTAAACCCTAAATAAAATAATTTTCTATGAAAATATTTCTAGGGCCACCTGGGTGGCTCAGCCGGTTAAACGTCTGCCTTCCGCTAAGGTCAGGATCCCAGGGTTCTGGGACTGAGGTCCACATCAGGCTCCCTGCTCAGTGGGGAGCCTGCTTCTTCCTCTTTCTCTGCCCCTCCCCACCCTGCTTGCGCATGTGCTATCTCTTTCTCTCAAGTGCACACATCCTTTCTCTCTGTCAAATAAATAAATGAAATCTTTAAAAGGAGAAAGAAAGAAGGAAAATATTTCTAAAATACATTAGGACCTTCTCACCGCCTTAAAACATAATTTTGTCTTTCCTTGATACTAATGGTCAATGTTCTGGATAGAAATTGATCTGTAATAGAGGAGATGCCATCAGGAGCTATTATGGTTTTGTGTCTTTCATTTATTATTTTAAGCAATATCCTCTGTCACCGAGTTTCTGGAAGTACAAATTACGGTTTTGAAGACAAGGGCGGAGCTCCCTCCCATCCTTTTCCGGCCTTTATGAATCTCTTGGATTTTTGTTCTTGTTTTATTTTGTTTTTTACTTCACAGTTATCTCACTTTTATATGATGAAGAAAGATTTGAACTTTGAATTTTAAAATTCCTTTCTTTTATGGTCCCCAGATCTAACCCACAAAGTCCAAATTATCTCCAAAATTTTCCTTCCATCTGAGGTAAACTGAAATCTTTAGGTCTTCTGATTCAGAATCACTGAGAGTTCTATTAAAAACACAATCTTTTAAAAAAAGATTTATTTATTTAATTGAAAGAGAGCGAGCAAGCAGGTCTCCGATACAAATTCCATTAGCTCAAAATGAAATCTAAAATATGTATTTCAAACAAATATCCTAAGTGATTCTTGTGGATATCAAATTTTGAGATCCGCAGCTCTGTCTTTTCTTAAAGCCGTGGGTCTCAAACATTGCTGCAAAATACACTCAGGTACGTTGGTGCTTTAAAAAACAAAAACCAAACCAAAACAAAACAAAAAATGCGTGAGCCCAAACCCAGGATCAGAATCTGAGCCTCTGGCAGGTAGGACATGTGCATTTGTGTTTATTTAGTTAGCTTTTACTTTTTATGTCATGTTTATTGTAGATTTCGTATGCTGTTCGTAGGAAACAACAGAGACAGATCCCATGTACCCTTCATCCAATTCCCCCCATGGTAACACCTTGCATAATCATAAAGCACAACAGCACAATTGGGAAATTAACATCAATACAATCCTACTAAGCCTTTTCAACGAGGTCTCCTTTTTTTTTTCTTTTAAGATTTTATTTATTTATTTGATAGACAGCGAGAGAGGGAACACAAGCTGGGGGAGTGGGAGAGGAAGAAGCAGGCTTCCCACAGAGCAGGGAGCCTGAGGTGAGGGCTTGATTCCAGGACCCTGGGATCATGACCTGAACCGAAGACAGATGCTTCACCGACTGAGCCACCCAGGTGCCTCTCAACTAGGTCTCCTTTTAAACTTTTCTCTTTCTTTCTCTGCTAATGCTTAGCTCTGTTGAAGCAGAGTATCTCCTCCTTAACGTGCTAGCTTCAAAAAAAAAATAAATAGCTTTATTAAAAAAAAAAAAAAAAAAGCTAAACCCACAGAAAACATACCAGAATTGTATAATGGAAGGGTATAATGAATACCCAAAAACCCTTCACCTACACCTTCACCAATTCTCAGAAGACCTGAGAACAAGGACCTTCTCTTCCATAAACACAATATAATCCTCAAATTCAGGAAATTTCACATCGATACAATATTGTTATCTAATATAATACAGTGATTTTTCAAGTTTGTTTATTTCCCAAACCATCCCAACACTTAGAGCAGTTACCACCCTGACACCCCCCCGCCCCGCCCCGTCCCCACCGCAAGGATCACATGCAGCCTGACTGTGGTATCTGGTTAGCCTCTTTTATCTGGAATAGGCTTTCTCGTGCCACCGGTAGTTCTGAAGACCCCAGCCCAGCTGCTTCGCAGACAGTCCCTCAATTTGGCTTTGGCTGGTGGTTTCCTCATTGGATTTCATTTTCGAAAAACATTTTTTCATCATTGTTCCCAGCTCTGGGTTTGCTAAGGAGAGGTCTTCTGGATCCTAAGCTCAGCTGATAGATGGCCACCTCTCAGGCCCTCGCTTCCAGGCAGCACATCAATCATATTCAAAACAGACTGCTGTCCCTATAGAGAACTGGGCACTCTGGGGAGCAAAAGTAGCTCGGCATAATTCCCAGCCTACGATCGTTAATTGCAAGGAGTAAGGAATCTTGGGGTCCGGGTTTCCAGTCTGGGTTCCTCTGAGTCCTGGCCTCCTTTCTCTCCTACCTAGCACTTGAGTACCTGGGTGGCCCATTCATGTGCCTTTGGCTCAGGTCATGATCCCAGGATCCTAGGATCGAGTCCCACATTGGGCTCCCTGCACAGCAGGGCGTCTGCTTCTCCCTCTACCCCTTACCCCTGCTTGTGCTCTCTCACACACTCTCTCTCTTTCTCTCAAATAAATAAAATCTTAAGAAAGAAAGAAAGAAAAAAAAAGAAAGAAAAGAAAATACCTAGCATTTAACTCACAGGGTTAATGCAGGAATGGAGGTAACATACTCAACACAGTGCCCAGAACTTAGTAAGGGTTCACTTAATGCAAGCTTCCACTATCTTTAAAAAAAAAATAGCATCAAGTCAAATTTCACATGTATTGTTTTAAATCTAGTGGGGGGCCCGAGGTTTTTGTGAACGCTGCATCTGGCTGTGACCTGCATCATCTTCCCAGGTGTAGGTGAAGATGCTTTCGTGGGGCCCGACCTCCAGCCCAGCGGCTTGGCTCGGGGAGAGATCCCGGCCCTTCATGGGGACATGAGGCTGAAATGCATCTTACCATCACATCCTGGATAGTTAAGAGGATCCTTTCTTTGTCGGTATTGCTCGCAGGGTCAGGGCATCCGTGGGTGTCCAGAAGAGAGAGATGAAAATCGCAGGGCGTGGTGTCAGTGGAAGACTTGGTGCCCTAGGGACAAGTGGAGAGAATGGGTGTGGGAAAAGCAACTCACGTCCCTGAAGACGTGCTGGGTCCCTTGTCCTCTCCGTTGGTCTCCATGCCTCCCGGTTCCCTCCTCACTCTTCCTCCTTCTCTGCTCCTGCTCCCAAAGCTGATTGGGTCAAACCCATCCCTGCCTCACCCACACCACGGAAGGCACTCGGAAAGTAAGTAGACTGGGATTCAGATTTGGGCTGCCCAACACCTAAACACTGGCTCAGTGAGGACCGAGTGAGGGCCGGCGTGGAGGTGCGGCCACCACATCTGTTTGAATAAAAAAGGTAGGCTTATCAAAGAGGGCAGATGGTATATAATTCCATCTATGGGAAAATAACAATAAAAAATAAAGGGTGGTCCCCTGGGTGGTTCCATCCAGTTAAGCGTCTGACCCTTGCTTTCGGCTCAGGTCACAATCTAAGCGTCTTGGGATCAAGCCCCTTGTTGGACTCCAGGCTCAGTGCTGGGCCTACTTGATCTTCTCTCTCTCCCATTCCCTCTGCTCCTTTCCCCCCAAATAAATAATGAAAATCTTAAAAACAAAAAACAAAAACAAAAACAAAACAAGGCAAAAACAGTCCTCACCGGAAGTTATTTATATGGTCATCTCAAACAGAAGTACCCACACAATGTGACAGGTTTTAAGCCTCACCGCTGAAACTGCTGAAGGTGGACTGAGGGATTTGCTGCAGGGCCCTGCTGGGGACCAGTGGGGCTGGCTGAGCCCCTGGAGGAGGGCTGGCCAGCGATGGCAGAAGAGAATCTCCACCGCGCCCACAGGGGCTGAGCTGTCATGGGCCTCAGCAGAGGCCACAGGGGGCAGAGCTGCTGGGAACACACAGCTTGTGACAGGTGTTTAGTTGTTTCTAAACACAGCCCGTAACAATGATTTGAGATCACTGAACTGTGTTGGGGGCAAATAACCACTTCACCCCACTTCAAGGCCCACACAATGGAGGGAAAACTCACAGCTGGTAACAGAACTCGGGGACTAGCTAGCACTCACTGGGAATGGGCTGGGACTGGAACATTCCAGATCTACCACCTCCTCTTGGATATAATCAATACATACGTATAATGAATATAAGAAATCTTTATTCTGGATGGATATACCCATCTATGATCTCTGGGGCAGCAGAATTATGAAAAGACTTTTATTTTCTTTGTTATCAGTTGAAATTTTTTATACAGACTGCACACTACCAGGGGAAAAAAGATATCTTACTAATAGAGAAGAGTGTGCACTTTGTTTCATTCCTGATACACAAATGGAGCCCTATTATCCCTTGCAACACAAAGCCCAACATGACTGAGACCTGGCACTTTGGCAGAACCCTCTGGAAAGAGGCTTCCTCTTTTCACTGGGGTTCCTAAGCTGCCCAGGACCTTACGGTGGCTTCCCCTCTAACTCAAAGTAGAATCCCTCATCTTCATGACAGGCTCAAAGCCCCGGGCCATCTGAGCCTTGGCCTCACCTCGTTTCCTTGTCTCTTGCTCACCCAGCTCCCAGGCACACTGATGTCCGCCCTGCGCTCCCATCTCAGGGCCTTCGTGCCTGCTGTTCCTGCGCCGGGCAAGCTCTTTCCCGCAGGGCTTACTCCCAGTCTTTCTCCAGAACCACTCCCAGGGCATCTCATCAATGAGAAGCCCCTGCCCGTCTTTTTCCAACCCTTTGCCGTTGCTCTGATCAGCCCTATCGCCTACTGGCATAGGACATGTGGTTTATTGTCTGTTTTATCTTCAGTGTCTAGAACGGTGCCTGCAATCTGGAGCAGGGACCGTGGCCCGTGCAGTGCACACCTGTCCCTGGGGGCGGCCGCTTCTCAGCCCCAGCCGCTGATGCCATGTAAGGACAGGGCTCCCAAATGTTCATGTGTTTCAAGGCAAGCCCCCAATTCACATTCTGACATGGAAACTCCTGATTCTTAAATGTCAGCTAGTAATTCTTTCAAAAGCCCCGTGCACGTCAGTGGGCTGGAGGCCAACCGAGCATGTCTGTGGCACGCCGGTCTGTGAACTCAGAACCGCCAAGAAATTGAAGATCGCTAAGGGTATGATGGAAGGCAGACAGGCTGGTGTGTTTCAACAGTGAAGGTCAGATGAAAAGTACACACGCACGCACACATCTCCTTTTGCTCCATTTCAGAGCTACACTCGCAAACAGTGTGAGGTGGCTGAGTATATTTAGCCACACGCCTTTCTCTCTCTCCCTCGTTCAGATTGCATCTCTACGGCTTCTGCCTTGGTCGAACACTGGCGTCACCATTTTACTCTTTCACTTAGCAGGAAAATAACTCCAAGGGGAAATTGACTGTGAAGCCTTACGGAGTGCCCCCTCAAGACGGGGAGGAAAGGGAAAGAAAGAAATAGAATCAAGCACTCAGGGTGGAGAAAATGAAGTGTTGGCAGAGTGCTGATTCTGAGCACGCGCGCGCACACAGGAATGCTAATGGGAGCTTTAATAGCTCGTGAGGGGCAGGCTGTCTGGGGCTGCGGGGAGCCTGGGAGCTTGCAAAGGAAGAACTATATGTTCATTTACCGGGGGTGGGGGGTCGGGGTGGACCAAATAGCCAAAGGAGAAGAGAAAGAACTACCCCACTTACTGAGTGAAGGGTGCGCACACGTTCTCCGACAGGGAGCGTGGCTGAGACTACAACAGACTGAACGTGGGGATGGACCAGGCTCCCAAGTGAAGGGAGACTGACAGCTGTTTGCACAGACATGTGCTCAGACCCTGAGCAGGGACCTTCTGTTGATTCAGGAGCGTGTGCGTGTGTGTGTGTGTGTGTTGTGTGGGAGGTGGGTGTTAAAGGCAGTAAAGTCCACACCACAATTTTGCCTACTGTAAAATCCCATTTCTAGGGACTGGGTAGGAAACAAGGTCATTCATTGGGTTATTCTATTAAAAAAAAAAAAAAAAGGATGTTCTTTTTTTTTTTTTCCCCCCAGGAAGACAGAATTTCCAATTTATTTGTAGACTTTTGTGGCCAGGATGGGAAACAAAGTAACCCTTTGCTCCTTACCTGTCCTTCCTGTGCCAAGAAGGAGACACAAACAGGCAACACCACAGAGGAATGTGTCCTGGACGCTATTCCCATGGCTTTTATGAGTCACATGTATTTCTTAAAGGTACGGAGGCAAGATTTTTGTTCTTTGAGGGAGGCTGTCACATCTGCAGCCCAGACCCACGGCAGAACATAGGCCCAGTGAATGGGGCAGGGTTTGGTTTAGGGGCCTGACTTTGTCCAGCTGCCTGCTAATAATTTTGCTTCTACATAACCATGGAGATGATCTACACACTCATTCTATGTATAAAAGCTATGCCCTTGGAATAAAATGCAACCAACCACCCACGGTTGCCCCTCGCCGAGCCCATTGTGCACACCTCCTGGTCTGCTCCCTGCCCCTCCAACCTTACTTCATCCCCCACTCCCGACTCACACTGGGCCTACACTGTGCTCCTTCAAGTCCAGCCTCATGGCATCTGTGCATGCTGTTCCCTCTGCCTGTAGTCCTTTTCCATCAGGTTCTGTCCGCCCTCCTCTCCCCTCTCATCCAGCTTTTAGGACTCTGACAAATGTCACTTCCTCTAGGAAGCCCTCCTGGATACCCTAGAAGCTCTCCTGAGCCCACCACGCCTTGCCCCACCCCTCAACTCCGTCCCATGGTAGAGGGATTGTATGCTGTTGCTACTCTGGGGTCAGACACCAGCCTTACTGACACCTGGCCTCCGGGGACCTAGTGGAGCATCTAGCCTGTGGTCTGGGTGCTCGCTACAGTGTGGGAGATGAATGTCGCAGTGAAAGAACTCAGGGGCATATGGAAGGAAAGTCGCCATGTGCCCTGAGAGCCGCTGTGACACAAGCCGAGGCCAGTCAGTCCTACCTGCGGACGGTCCCCAGCAGCACCCTGGGCCTTGGCAGTCTCATCTTCGCAGGCCTCAAAGTCTTCAGAAGAGCCCAGAGGAGGCTCAATGTGGAGCCGCGGGCCAGCTTCTGTTCTGATCTGCACCGATTTCTAGACAGAAGAAGATGGTTTCAGAAGCAATGGAACAAATGCCTCGATTCCTCCAAGGGGTGAGCACCTTAGGGGGCAGACTGTGAGGTGGCAGGTCCCTGTCCCCCAGCAGTCATGCTATGAAGCACAGTGGCCCGGCACTGGCTCGCAAGGGCCAGCCTGGCGGGTCCTGCCCCCTCTGCTCAGGAGTCTTTACTGGTTGCTACCACAAAAAGCATGCTCAGTAGGATTTTTTTAAAGCAACTTTTTGGTTTGAAATACCTTATCAGTAAAATGTTAGTGCGTGATAAACTTCCCCAAATTGGCCTTGTGATCCAATGGGTTTAGGAGACCCTGGGTTTTTTTTTCCCCCTCAGGACTTCTCAGGGCCAGGGCCTGGGTGGGGGGCATAAGCAAGACATGACATTTTAGAGGGGTTACAGATCCAAGAGCGAGGGCCTCCTTAAACTTTCTGCTCTGGGCCTCGCTCTAGGGAGGCCCAGCTTCTGAGAGAAGAGGTTGGCCAAGCCATGTGTACTGAACATAGCACCCCTCTGAGGGACAAGGATTTAGACCCTGCCTTTCCCCTCGTGTCCTGGGTTCGAACCCTCCACCCCCTAAATCTCTGTGGCCCCACAGCCTTGGTGAACTGAGCTGTTATCTCGGTGAAGGACACAATGCAGGGCCTTAGTGCCGGCGGGCCTCTCCCTGGTAGGACTGAACACCTTCCTCAGCCACAGTCACATCGTTACCCCCCACCGCCACCATTAGCGCTTTCACACTAGTGGCACTCCTAGCGTGTTAGAAGTTCACTTAGTCCTATAGCAACGCCGGGGGGAAACTGAGGCACCAGGCCGAATGCCTCTTACCCAAGGTCACACAGCTTAGGAAGCCGCAGAGCCCTGATTTGAACCCCAGCGGGACGGCTCCAGAGGCCTTGCTCTAAACCAGGGGTGGGTCAAACGCTTCCTGTAAAGAGGACGTATTTTAGGTTTTGCCTGCCCTACGGTCTCCGTCACAGTATTTAACTGTCCCACTGTCATTTGAAAGCAGCCACAGATATTGCCTAAGTAAATGCGCATGGCTAGGTCCCCAAAACACTTGATTTGTAAGAACAGGCTGTGGCCAGATTCGGCCCAAGAGCTGGAGTTTGGCCACCGGCCCCAGTACTAAACTGGCCTGCTGGACCATCCCCATTGGGCACGTGAAAAAGAAATGTGCCCAGCTTTGGCTACAGTGGCCTTTGGGGAGAAGAGAGGGAAATTAAGAAATTTCCTGAGACCATCGAACACTCAAAAAAGTAGGCAGGGGCATGGCTATAGACCATTCGAGAAAAAGATCTCGGCAAGAAAGAGTGAAGAAAAAGAGAGGCTGGAAAATGCAGGTGGGTTGTCCCCTGTCCGAGAACAGGGAAAGGCAGAGGGGCAGAAGGAAGGTGCTCTGGGACACTTTCCCTTCGCTCGGGCCATCCGTCCCTTGGCAATGCCCCCACCCCCATGCTCCAAGTGTGGCCTCCCAGCCTCCCAGGCTGTGTCAGCTTGCTCTCAGAGCATTTCCCATGGTGGCCACAGACTGCACGGAGGGGAAGAAGTACACAGAATACCTAAAACCTGGGGCTTCCTGGCCAGGAGACTCCTGAGAGCTTCCTTGCCTCGGGCCAGGATGAAGCTATAAGGGCTTTGAAGTTCATCTCCAAGATAGATTTTCAACCATAACTCTGGGGAGTGCAGGCTCCCCCTCCTCCTCAGGAATCACTCAATAGCGCCCAAATGCTTTAATGAGAGAGACACAGAGACAGAGAGAGAAAGAGAGGGAAAGAGAGAAAGGAGGAGGGAGGGCAGGAAAGCGGGATAAGGGGAGGCAGCGTGGAGGGGGAATGGCACAGAGGGAGGGCACTGGGCATGGGGCACAGCCTGGCCCCTCCATGGCTCTCTGTTCCTTTATCTAGAAAGGGAAGGCTTGGACTAGGACCTCACTACTCCATGTACTCCACTGGTGTGTGCACCAGTAGCCTTGGCTTCTCCTGGGGAATTTGTGAGAAATGCTGAATTTCAAGCCTGTCTTAGAGCTAGGAATCAGAATCTGCATTTCCACAAGAGCCCAGGTGACTTACATGCACACTTCAGTGTCGGTAGTGTGAGCCTAAGTTTTGTCGGCAGAGGGCGGGGAGTGCTGCTGTTTCCACCTATCTCCTCCATTCACTCCCGTCTTCGGGCAAAAGCACCCTGATTTTCTTTTGGGAAATCCTCTACCTCCTCACCCCCAATCCAAGTGTTCATGTGGAATGGAGTCCATGGGTGGTTGGAGTGTATGACAGGCCCAGCAGAACTGAGCACTAGATCCTGAGGGCCCAGAGCGACTAGATGATCGGTTCAGGAGAGCCAAGAAATGCCAATAACAGGGTGACAGAATGTAAGGTGGGAGCTGGTGGTGGCCCCCTTGGCATCACACAGAGCAGCATGGAGAGAAACAGAGTTGAAAGGCGGAGAATGAGCCCTGCTACACTGTCTGAGCACCTGTATCCAGCCATGCCTGAACTGGGCTTTCCCATTGTCAAGTGAAAGAGCTGTGGCATTAATGCAGTTCTGCTGGTCTGATCTGAATGATAAATATGAGAACGACCTCCAGGGTTCAAGGAGGAGAGTGCAGGTATATCTCTCTCCACTGCCACTTTCCCATCCTCCCTTTTCCCAGAAGCGTCCTTCTCCCTTCCTCGGAGCTTGACACAATTGCTAGCCTTGCCAAAAGGTCAGGGGACGGTTTTGCAGTAGGCATGAGGGCACTTAATTGGGAAATTCTTACTGAATCCTGACTGCATACAAGGTTCTGGAAGCATGTCAAGATAGCAAAAAAAAAAAAAAAAAAATGTAACCACCAATGGCCTGGCCTTAGGGAGTGCACACAGCACACACAATGGAGGAACACGTTTCGGAAGCAACATCTGACAAAATTAACGTGGTCCAGAAAGAGTTTTCAATGCTGAGTGGGTGCTGAAGAGGGGAAGAAATAGTCTTCCATCTGGCCTGCTCTCCCACCCCAGCCCCAGGGAGGTGGCTCTGCTGCCACTGGAGAAGATGGGGAGCCATCTCCCCCACATGACGACGCCCACCTCCCAAAAGGAGCACGAGGCTGGCAGGTTCCAACCCAGCCCCCAGGAGGCGCCCGCTCCCTGCCTCCCACCTTCACATGCTCACAAGGATGATGCCCGAGCTCCTGGCTGGCTCCCCGCCTGGCATGCTGCTTTACCCAGAGTGGGTGCTTTTAAGTGGTTGATCTCTCCTGCCTACCTGTGGCGCCCAGACCTGGGTAGACCCCTGCAGTATCACCCACATGCCAGGACAGGATTTAAAATCCAGACACCCCTGTTCCAGTTTGCCAGCCCAAGGCCATGCCCAGAGTGATCTGTGTGTATCTACTGCCCCCTTAGCAAAGCATTCTAACAGGTATGCATTCAAGCTCCTGCAGATGAGAAAGATCAAGGCTAGGGGTTGCCCTGTATGGTTGTTCAGGTTGCGCAGTATGTGAGTGGCTCCCCCTAGAGGCAGGAGAGCTCTGAAGATCCTGCCAGGCAGGTTTAGGGTGGGGAGTAAATCTACCTTATTTGCTAGGTTCTTCCAGAATTTGTCTGATATCTTACAAATAATAGCGCTCGACACTCTTGACAGTCTGCGTCATACAAGGTCGCTGTCAAAGCTGATGCTTTATGGGTTGTTTCATTTATTGTCCTCACGGCAGGGGTTTTCAAAACTCAGAAATAGGAAAACAAAGGAAAGGGCTTCACTTTTGAAGCTTTCCTGGGGGTGCTTCAGCTGCCTGGCCCGCCAGAGGAAACCGGATACAGCAGTAGAGTGAGAGCAAAGCCTCTGCTTTCCGCTGCAATGAACTCACTTTCCCAGCCTTTAAGGAAAGCCCACCCCACAGTAAATTGCTGAAAGGCCAATCCCTTCACTACCAATTTAATGCTAAGAGCTGGTGACGTTCATCAAATCTGACAGCATTTTGGTAAACGACGGCTCTGCTGATTAGGCCGTTGTCCACCCAAGTATTACAAGGCTGAGGAAGCCATAAATCTTAATCCGGTGATAGCAGGAGAAAGATCTGAGGCTGAGAAGGGTGGGGGAGAAAGGACAGTCCCAATAAGAGCCCATTTATCACTTCCGGCCCAGCCCATGGTTGCCACGGCCGCAGCTCGGAGGCTGACACTGCCCCACCAGTCCCCTCCTTGGCTCTCCCACAGTCGGAGGGTCCCCAGGAAGGGTTTTCCAGGTTAGGCTCTTAGCCAGTGTCCGGATGACTCTGGGACCTTTTGGAGAGCAAGGATCCCAACAGCCCCTTCCATCAGGGGCATCTCTACCCAAAAAGTGCTTCCCAGTTGGTGGGCAAGACCTTAAGAAGGGAGCTTATTCTACTGGAAGAGGTGAAGGTGTTGGTCCTGGTCACTGGGAAGGGGACGTGTGACCCCAGAGAGTTTAGGGCAACAGTCGGAAAAACTGGCAAGCTAGCCACCTGAAGAGGGCAGGGAGGCCATGGTGGGGAGCAGTGCTGGCCAGGGGTGGGCTGAGACTTCGGGGCTCCCTGAGCGCTGGGCCTCCGTGTCCCCTGCTGACCAGGCCGTGGTTAGTGCCAAAATACCGAGTGCCTATGTGGCCCCCTGCTGGGCACAGCTACACAGGAGCAACCCCAGGACTGGGAGCGGGTGGTGGGACCTCTCCTGATGGAGTGGCTTTTGAGAACTGGCCACCCCTGGCCACTGGGGATTCTGCTGCCTTCGCCACTGCCAACCTCTGGCTGCCTCCAAGGACAGCGGAGCCCACCCAAAAGGGTGAGGTCAAGATTACCTTCCTCTCCATCCTACGTACCCCCAAACCTGTCCCCATGTACTTTCTACCAGGGAGAACCTTTCCACTTAGCTCCACTACTTGGGGCCAAAGGAAACCCAATCGGTCCCTCTTTCTTCTGGTAACAGTTCGGTTGGTCCACCGGGTCTACCTACTGTCCTGGACGAGAAGCTTGGGGCCCCAAGCAGGCTTTTCGCTTCTGGTCACAGCCAAGCAGGATGGGAGCGGGCATCTGGCCCAGGCTGACCGACTGAAAGATTCAGATAGTCTCTTTCCTGCATAATTTCCGCAAACCAATTCTGGAAGACCCGGGTGATGACACCCTGGGATGGGTCGAGGAAGCTGAGATGATCAGGGGACTCTGGGGGCCAGGGACAGAGCTGTGACGTGGAGGCTGGGGGACAAAGAGACACAGGCTGCATTAGGCTCATGGCGGGGGATGGGGGAGCCCTGCTTCCAAGTCTCCTGCCTGGTCCTCCTACAGCATCCTTCGGAATGCAGCCGCCGGGGATCTTCTTAAAACGTGAGCCCGAACACGTAACTCTCCTACTGAAAACTCTCCAGAAGATTCTTTGCATTTAAAATGAAATCCAAACTTCCTCCTGGGCTCCTTCCGGCCACTATGTCGTCTGCCCACTGTGACCTGTGACCCCTGACCCCCACACTCAGCCTTTCCACCCCTGCTCACCGGGTACCCCAGGGACCCTTCAGCCTGACCCGCCTTCCTGCCACCCCCGCTGTGCCCTCCACTGGGAGACTCCCGCCAGACCTTCATGGGGCTGGCTCTGCTCCTCCTCAGCGATCAGGTCAGGGGTGGCCCCCAGGGAAGACTCTGCTGCCCCCCTTCTCTAGAGCGGCTGCCCCCCAGAGCCTCCCCATTACCCCCACCCTCGCGGGGGGAAGCGTGAGCTCCAGGCCAGCAGGGCCCGGCCTGCCTCACTCACGGCGCTGACTCCAGCACCTGCGGGCTGGAGTTCCTCCACGGGCCACAGGTTCAAAGGCCCCAGTGGGCCAGGTGGGAAATGGAAAGGTGAGAAGCCACCCGGTAGGAGGGAAACAGCAGCCAGAGCACAGCAACCAACCGTAGCCACCACTCGCCTCAACTCGGGGCGCTAAAGGGAGTGGTGGGGACTGTGGGCAACAGGTCTGCATGTACCCGGCCTCATGGGGCGACGTTAACCGCGCTCTGCTGACGGCGGCCTCAAGGGAAGGGGAAGCCGAGCATGACAGCCAGCTCTTTCCATTTTTCCAGGGAAGTCAGAATGGAGCTTTAAAAAAAAAAAAAAAAAAAAAAAAAAACAGAAAAACTTTTGAATTTAAATGTTAGTGAGTGACTAAGATTCTTTTAAACCGTTTTGAGTCCAAAAAACATTCTCCGGGGGACAAGTTCAGCCCACAGGCCTCAAGCTGCTCACTTGGAAGTCCAGCAGGCCAGTCCTCCGTACGCTTGGACCGGCTGTCACATCTTCCTTGCAGGCGGGGCAGTCCCCCCACCGTCCTCATAGCTGGGAACCCAGCCTTATGTGATTGTTTCTAACTCCAGAGCCTCACACAGTGCCTGGGTCAGGGTAATAAATGTTAATTTAAAATTAAAGGATGATGTCTTTTGGGACCTGACCACTGAATGCTCTCCGGTTTATCCGTATCAAGGGGGAATGGTCCCCAAAACACCGCATGTGGGGGGAACAGAGTAGTAGGGGGGTGGGCTGAACTCCCAGGACCCCTTCCGCTTTCCGCCTAGGATGCCTGTGCGTTCAGTAGAGGCCAGAAAGTCAGTCTATGTTTCCCAGATGCCCTTTCTGTGGACATTCTGGAAGCGAGCTAGGTACAGCCCATCAACCGGCCTCCTGCAAGCAGGGAGAGCAAAAGTGAGGTGGAAAGAAGGGGACACACAGTGGCTGATTCTGGGCTGAGCACAGTGGCCGAGGAGACAAGTTTTCAAGTGCCCCAGCCTGGTGGGACTGGCTATGAGAAGGGCTGATCTAGCAGGCACGGCATCAACAGAGGCCAACAGTGGTGGTGGTGGCCACCTGCTTTCTGGAAGCCAGCTAAGGTGACGCGTCCCTGATGCGGATCCTCCACCCTCCCCGCCGTGTCCTAGGTAGTGGCTTTCCTGGCAGGCTGTGCTGGAAGGCTGGGTGCCATTCCAGGAGGCCCCCCAGCCTCCCACTCGGGATCCCTCCTCTTGCCACCCGGAGATCTTGTAAGCACCTGCTTCCCTCCCTTCCCTTCATCTCTGATTACAACAGCCCGAGTGGTCTCTATGGTTAGGCACTGACTGACCCCTGACTGATACCGTGCAGAAGGACAATTACAGCCTTCATGGCATTAGGAAGCCAGGAAATTAGCCATGATTAGGCCCCGTGAAGTGTGGGACCACAGGGAGAGGTGTGTGTGTGTGGGGGGGGGGATGCTAATTAATCTTAGGCCCAAGTCTTTTTAAATTGCACAGGCTCTGGGGCCAGCAGTGAAGTCACAGTCTAAGATGCAAATATGGCTCCTGATAATAGAAGGCACTCAAAACAACTAGGAGGGTCTGAAGTGGGAAGTGGAGAAAGGCTTCCTTAATGAGAAATTAACATTCATTGCTGGGGACAAAAGGAGGCCTCCGAGCTATGGGCCCCTTAGGCCTTGCTCTTCTGCACTGAGATAAGGCTGTGGGATTCAGTGGGCCAGAAAAACCCTTCAGTACTTCATTATAGACCCACAAAGGCAAGGGAAGACCAATGGGTTTGGGGGTCACAGGTCTGGGGTTCAAACCTCCCTAGTGGCTATGTGGCTCTGAGCAAGTCACCTTATCCCTCTGGCCCTCAGTTTCATCAAGGGCACAATGACAACAGTTACAGACCTACAAGGTGATTGCAAAGATGGGCCAATAAAACTTACAGAAAAATTTCCTACAGACCCACCGATATGGCACAGTGTAAAAGATCAACGTGGGGGACCACAGGATTAAAACACACACCATTGCTTAAGCCTCATCTCAGACCAAGTGAGTCAGAATCTCTGGGGGGTGGGGCTCCCAGGTGACGTGAATGTGCTGTGGGGGTTGAGACCCATTGACCCCAGGCCAAGTGTGAGTAACCGCAAGGTAAGGACTACATGGGCAGGAATACGGCACCTGGAGCACAGATCTAGGCTCAGGTCTTGCTGCTGTCACTTCTTAGTGATTGGCCTTGGAAAGCTCACTTAGCTTTACCGAGCATTCATTTTCTTGGCTTCCATAAAACAGGAAGAAATTTGGAACTTGCCCTACCGGTCTGCCATGAGGACAAAGGCATGTAGTAGGTGTGCAGTAAAAGATAGCTGTGTAGGGGCACCTGGGTGGCTCAGTGGGTTAAGCCTCTGCCTTCAGCTCAGGTCATGATCCCAGAGTCCTGGGATCGAGCCCCGCAGAGAGCCCTCTTCCTCCACTCTCTCTGCCTGTCTCTCTGCCTACTTGTGATCTCTGTCAAATAAATAAAATCTTAAAAAAAAAAAAAAAAAAAGATAGCTGTGTAAATAAGTCATCACCACGGGGCTGTGAGTCTGTGCTGGGGTGCCCCATCCCCCATCTGGAGGGGAGGATCATGCCACAGAGAGGGGACTAGAGGACCCCCAGACCCCTCTACCTTCTAGGGGCCAATACCACACACAGAGAGGACACCCATGTGGTACCCTGCCAGATGCACCAAGGCCCACAGGGATTCCCAATGCCAGGATTATGTTTCTGTTCCCACAAGAACCCTGCTCCTTATTCTAAAGCATGAGCAGGGGCCATGCGTCTTGACACTGCCCAGGGCTCCCAGACCTGGTGCCATCCGCGGCGCTGGACTTTGCTGGGGGCTGTCCGTGAATTGCGTCTTAAAGCTTCCTCTGCTTCTCGCAATAGGGTTCTCCGTCCATGATCTGCACCAGGGATGAGGGAAAGAGACTCAGTGAGGCACTGGTGGTAAGTTCACACCCAGGGAAGATGAGTGACTTTCAGCTAAAATGTACTCCCCTGTGCCCAAAGTTTTGTAGGCAAAGCGAGTCCTGTTTGTAGCAGCAGGCCGTTAGAAAACAGGCCAAATGCTCAGGAGAAAGGGAATGGGGAGTAAATCATAGCTGTAATGGGCAGGTCTGTATACAAAAGGAACAGTCTCCGAGATTCAGAAGCAGGATATACACCGTGCACGCTACAGGCCAGTGCTTGTGTAAAAGAGGAGAGAAGGGAGAGATATTTGTTGGGGGAGTGAAGGTACTGCTGGTGGCCCAAGTACAGAAGAGACTCCTGCTAACCGCACCTCCTTGAAACCTGGACCAGGAAAGGCCTGCTTCTCCCAACCAGCGGCAGGTTGGCCCGACTCCTCCTCCCCAAGAGCTAGGAGAATCATCCCATTTCCCTCATTGCCCTGGGGGCCCGGAAGCTCATGCTAAACTTGAAGCTGGACTGCAGTGGCTCTTCTCCTAGGAGAAGGTTTGGACATCATTCTCTCCTTTTATCTCCTTGTTGTTTTGACTCATACTGTCTGTTATGGCTTGGGACATTTCCCATACCTGTAAGGCAGTGACTCAGAACAACATGAATCAAGATTATTGTGCGACAAGCATTTTACATTTTGTATGTCATTTAATCTTCCTGGCAAGCCGGCAAGGTGGGCTTAAGTATTCTCATGTCATAGAAGAGGAAACTGAGGGTCAGTGAGGACCCTATTGCCAGAGGTCTCAAAGCTAGAGAGTGGCAGAAACCCAGCTCTGTCTCATTCCAAATGCTCTTCCTGTAACGCAGTAGCCGGCTGGGTCCTCAGACAAAGCAGTCTGCCTTCAAGGGCACCGTGCCCTAGGGATGGGTGCCCCCCTCAGTCCCATTTGACAGATGAGGAAACAAAGGCCCGGGAGAGAGACAAAGTAACCTGGCCAAATTGAGACCCCACCCCGTGTGCTCTGACATTTCATTTGCTTTCCGGCGAGGTTGTTTTTGGTGCCTGTCCTGGGCCGGCCGCTGGGTGGCACGCTCCTATATCAACTTCACAAACTCCCTGAGAGTTTAATATAGGACACACGGGATCGACTGCAAGTCTGTGCAGTCTGGATTAACTACACTCAGCACAATCCGTGGAGTTAAATATCACGAAGTGTTGGGTACTGAAGTGAAGACAGAGCCACTGAAAATTGGGTATAATTTAAATTATTCTAGACACTTCTTTCAATTACTGGCACCGCAAAATAGAAAAGCCGAGAATTTACGGCTCTCGGCACCTTTGCCCTGGGGGTAATGGAGGCCGAGGCTAAGTTTTAAAAGGAATAAAAAGGGATTTTGTTCTTTCTCACACTCCTGCTCTCTCTCTCTTTCTCTTTTTTTTTTTTAGAGAGAGAGAAAGAAGTGCACGCACAGACAAGCAGGGGGCGGGGCAGAGGGCGAGACAGAATCTCAAGCAGGCTCCTCGTCTGGTACAGAGCCTGACACGCAGCTCGATCTCACAACCCTGAGACCATGACCACGCTGAAATCCCCAGTTGGCTGCTTAACCCACTGTGCCACCCAGGTGCCCCCTGCTCTCTTGCTGGCAAAGTGAGTAGAGTTAACTTGAACAGGTTAACTAGTTATTTGCAGGTAAGTTTAGGGGCACAGGATGTGGCCCCACGGGGCCCAGTGACCCGTGCTCACCGTGTGTCCCCTCGGCGTGGGAGGCACTCCTGGTGAAGTCGGAGTGGACAGCTTTCCGGGGGGACGACTTCAGCTCCGAATTGGCCCCATTGACATAGACAGAGAAACCCTGCTCCAAGTGCTCCAGCCTCAGCTGCATGGGGTCCTTGGTTTTCAGATGCTTTAATATCCTGGAAGAGAAACAATCAGTTCCTCCTTGTTATGTGAGCCTGGGCCGCTGCCCACCCCCGTGTGGGGAGAGAACTGCGCCTCTGATGGGCAAAGCGTCTCTCATCGGAGGCCGGGTGGTGGGCGCCCAGCTGTTCATCGACAAACAGCCTGTAAGAGGCCCATTACACACGCGGAGAAGCAGCAAGGGGGAGACTGTTTTGGGCTCTGCAGGGGTGTTTCTGCTTCCACTCTGAGGCTCAAGTGCACGTTAGCAACAACGCAGGCACGCGTCCACGTGTCATTCCTCGCCCCACGGGGACCAGGATGGAAAGCAGGTAGGTGCAAACGCTGCCCAATTTCATGCATCTCCACCTTGTGTGGACAGTGGCACCTTCTCCAGGGTTTAACAAAACATGGGTCTAAGAGTCTTAGGTCCTAAGCCTTTGCAAGGAATTTCAGAGAACATCTACAAATCAGAAAACATCCTTCATCAGACCAGGCAGACTGACTTTTTGCTTCAGTAAATAAATGTGTTCTCAGAAGCTCGCCCTGATATTCCAAAGGTCATCATTTTATATTCTGATGCAGTGAAAGTATATATCAAAGTAGGCTTTAGCTCATCCCATTTTGGCTAAAAGGGTCTTGGCATGAACAAGGCTGGACCTCTAGTTTTCTCGAGAACCCAACCTCACACCTCAGGCTTAATCCTTTCCCAACTCCTGAGATTGTCAGTGCCATAAACAGTGTGAGCATCCTCACCAGCAACCCCCCTCTTCAGAACCATACCCATTGGACACCAAAACCTTGTGTTTCTATAAGCACCTTCATACACCCCGTATGAGCTGGATTTATTTCCGCACAAGAAGATACAGACAACCAAGGTGCCTGGCAACCAGTGTGCATCCCCTTTGTGATTAAGTAATTTCCTATCAAACTAGCAAAATGCAAATTTTAAAAAATAATAGAAATAGTATCCACATAAAGGGTGTGTACAAGGTGCCAAATTCGGTTCTACTTGTGCTACGGATACACTAGTTGGTTCTTGTTATTTGCAGTAGTTTTGTCTTATGAAGTCCCCACAAATACTGAGTTAATGAATACTGAAATCTTGTTCCCAGGGGAAAATACAGGACTTGGTTCCCGTGAGCTTCTGTCGCAACACTTTCATTAAATGATCACTATAGAACCCTGTTGCATATGTGTTTCTGTTTAAAGGCACCTTATTTGATACATGGTTGAGACACTGACATGAAACTCACCAGCCAGCAGGTCTGTAACTCAGGCCTGAGGGAAGCTCATCTAACATGTTTTTTCTCCCTTAAGAGACATCATAGCCTTCTTACACTTAGGAACATCAGACAGCACTTCAGGACCATGCTTAGGGTACAGTTTAAACAGCAAAATCACCAAGGAAAAACATAACAATGTGTAAGACATGGCACTCAGTATACTGTGAAAAGCCACTTTTTTATGGAGTAAGAGCTAAAATAAGAAGGTGAAGTATTCCCTTGTTCTATTGCAGCTGGGAATGTGTGTGTGTTGGGCAGCTAAAATTTTTTGCCACTCTGCGCTTGTCTTTGAATGACCACAAAAGTGCTGCAAATATTTAAAATTTACAAATAAATTTTTGTCAGTAGATGAATTCATATTTAGGGAACCATGAATAACAAGGATTGACTATATTAAGACCTTAATCTTCTCCAACAACCCTATGGGGTAATTATTTTTATTATCCCCATTTAATAGACAAGGTGTGTGAGACACAGAGAGGTTAAGTTACTGGCCCAAGGTCACACAGCAGGCACGGTGGTAGGGCTAGACTGCAAACTTAAGCAATCTGGCTTGAGTCTTCACCACAGCAAAGACAACCTCTAAAGCTAAGCCAAGAGGACACTGAACCTGGCAAACTTAGACACTGCTGCTAATTCAGACATAATATGAAAATAGAGAAAATGCCATATGCTTGGTGTTCCCCCGGGGAGCCCACTGCAGCAAATCAGTCTTGACCAGGAACAAGAGTCAGTGTTCGGTCATAACAAACCCCTGAAAGCATTCCAAATGTCCAACAGCGGGGAATGGAAGCTGGGATCCCATGCAGATGATATCATTACTAAGAGTCTGTCCAGATGTGAGGAACTGCTTGCAATTGGGAGGACGGGGAGGGGGAGCAAAGTCAGAATAAAAATGGTACTGTGTGGTTCAGTGCAAAGTTGGAAAAAGGTGGGTTTGTGGACCCGGAGTGGAAAGTGATACGTGTGAAAATCCTATCAGTTGTTGAGGGAGGGTGGTGGCATTACGGGTGATCTCTTTGTTTGTTTTTTTAAATGTTTCTTTAGCTGTTGATACATCCATCTTTTTCAACAATCGTGGCAGGAACATTTATTACAGACTTCTTATCTCCTGCCGGCCTTAGAAGCCTGGGAGTTGATTGTTGGGCGGGCAACAGCATGAAACAGAAGGAAGGAAAACACAAGTCACTAAGAGACGCTTTGCAAACAGAGCCATCGTTGCTCTGTCTGGAGCAAAACACCGAAGGCTGCAGCGGGCCCTGGGGAAAGTGTGCAGGGAGCCTGAGCCCTAGGAGGGGCCCAGAGAGTGGAAAGTCTGACCACCCAGGCACAGGGTGCCTGCCTCCACCTCCCTCCGGGGGTCTCCTGACGCTGGGCAGGTGGCGATGGTGACATCCCACTTGCTGTGCGGGATCCGGAGCTGGTACTCCGTGTGTGCTTCTCTTTAAGCAGAATGATTGATGAAAACATGGATTTATGAAACTGATAAATGAGGAGATAATTATCCAGACTGTGAAAGGGATCACTGAAGGCATTCCCCGGCTGCAGCTGAGCCGACAGTGATACGCACTATGCACGCGGCATCGAAGAAAAGTGGTGTCTTTTCTGTTGTTGTTGTTGTTAATTGATAGCCTGCTTTGCATAAAAAGCAGGCCCTCAGTGTAGGGGATTCAGAAAACTCAGACAAGGTCCCTCCCCTGTGGAAGATGGAGCCCCTGCCCACCTGGTCCCCCATCACACTCTGGGTTCCGGGTTTTGGGGGATGCAGGGAAAGGGCTCGCTGCCTCACACCATGGGATACTCTTGGTGTGTCTATTCTCCCCTCCTACTGTGGAGCCTGACCCCTGGATATGGGGACCATGCTGAGCATAAGGAATGTTCTTGATACCTGTTTCTGGAAAAAGTGGCTCTAAGACCCTCCAGGTCTAGCAGGGGAGAGAAGACACAGATGCGTATCCTCCCAGCTCCCGTGGTCCTCGTGCTCATCACTGGAGCCTTTTCTGTCTTAGCCTGTAGCGGCCTGTGGGGCTGCTTGTACAGAGCTCTTTGGACAGAGAGGAAGTAGGAGCATGACGGGGGATACCACTGGGTGGGAGGGGCACAAACAGGGGCCCAGCGGGTGAGAGGGCATGGCCAAGCCAGGGTGGGGGGGGCGCATTGCTCCTGGGCGTGGCCACGCCTGGGTTGCTGGCTGAACCCCTTGGCCTGAGAGTGCTGCGGCTGCTGTGTACCCAGGCTAGCCACGAGGCCCCTCCAACCTCAGTTACCCCCGGGGACCTGAGGGCTTCTTCAAGGGTCAGACATTCCAGCAATACCTGGATATCAGCTCAGGGAGAAGGTGTGTTTAACATTAATATGGCAATGACGGTGATGGTGATGATGTTGATGGCACCTGGGTGTTGTCCCTCTCACTCCCTCACTGGTCCTTCCATTGGCTTGTTTTATAGATGAACTTGCCCAAGGTCACAGAGCCCAGGATGCAGCCAGGATTTAAAACCTGGTCCACAAGGCTCCAGGGCCCATCTCCCACCCACCTCATTCTGCTGCGTCTAGTCTCCTCCCTTAACACGTCACAGGGCTCCTGAGGGAGGAGAGTCTGGATGAGGAGCAGTGGCTCCCAGCTGGGGGCTTCCTGGAGGTGGTGACATTTGAGAGCAGGCCTGAAGGATGGAGAGGGGCAGGGCAGTGGTCCAGAGAGCCTGCTATTTCTCCACGAACGTCAGTGCCCACGGGCTCTGGGATTCGCCCTTTCGGATGTCAGCATCCCCACAGGAGGATATAATACCATTGCTGGGCTCCTGGATCCGGTCCAGCCTTCAGCATTTAGAGGGATGCGTTACAGCCCGTCTCGGCAGTCCGCCCTCCAGCACTTGGCCCTGTCTGCTGGATGTGTTGTTGAGCCAATCTGTCGGGTGTGATTATATCTTTCATGAAGGTGAGTGACCAGAATCACTAAGGATCCTCTGGGAGGTTTGTACGGGGGTGACCCAGGGCTGTCACACCCTCTACCACCTCCTCTGGTCCTCTCCTGCAGCACAAGATCATGTTCTGCTTCTTTGGGCATAGTTATAAATAGATGACCTTGTGCTCACCTGCTGCACCCGGGGAGTTCCTCAAGGGCAAGGGCTATGGGCAGATACCGGTTCGTTCTGCCTCGCTGACAACTCTCCCCCATCTTCCAAACCGAGCCTCTCAGATCCCCTTTCAGAACCACTCCATTCCTACTCTTACTCCTACTATTATACACTTGCTCCACCACCCATCTTAAGGAGATAGTCAAGTCAGACCAGGCTACCTCACCTGGCACAGGGCGTGACTGACACGGGGCTGGGGCCAGGGCCCTCCTCAAGACTTTCACTGGAACTATCAGGAAGGAAGTGCTCCCTTCTCCTTGAGGCAGGATGTAAGTGTGGGGCCGCCAGTGGCTACCTTGGCCTCTATGAAGGAAGCACTGGCCTGAGGGACTCCAACATGGAGTTAGAACTGAGTACCTGGATACAACTATGCCTGAAGCTGGTTTCTTGCTTTTTTGAGCCAATACTTTTTCCTTATTGTTTAAGGTCTATTTACCCTGGGTTTCTCTCCATTCGACCCCGGGGAGCACTAACTAATAAAGTCTGTACCTTCCTCATCATGACGCTCTCCTTCACACCAGTGGCAGTGCTAAGCAGCGAGAAGGCACTCAGTGAATTCCTACTGAATGAGGAAAAGAATAACATCACCAGCCTCTGTGGAGGCTATGTTCTGGGCAAGGTCACTCCTGGAAACTGGCTCCAATGATCACCCCCACCCCCCCATTTCTCAGGTCACAGGGCAACCTGGATAAGAAGGCTAGGTTTTCATTTCTGTCTGTGCACACTACATAGCCAAGATGCTGATTTTCTACCAGGTCATATAACTAGATTTCCAATAGGCTGCGGTTTATTTCCACAAAACCCTTCATTGTGAAAGTGGCAACTCTGGTGGGTTTCTCCCCTCCTGATAATTGATGACAATGTCAAACCAAACATCAATCAGAAAGTACAGCCCAGCTCTACCACTTCCTGCCTTGATCACCTTGGACACACGGCTTACCACTCTGGGTCTCCTTTGTCTGGAAAATGGGTGCAAGGAGTGTAGCTACACCTTACCACATAGTGGGAGGACACAATGAAATGATGGGGTGAGGTGCCTGGCATGCGGAAGGCACCCCAGAAAAGGTATCTCTAAAGCAACACCCGGCAATAGCTCGGGGAGCCAACCACTTTTCATGTCTTCAGTGGGAGTCACGCCAGCCCCTTCTTGGTGACAACACATCCCCCAATTTTTATGGCAACTTGGCTTGGACATATTTTTTCATTGCCTTTGTGCTACAACCTTGTCTCTGGATATTCTTCTCTATGCAATTGGCTGGGACCCCTTTGATTGTGCACTTATTGATCTGCTGATTAATGAGAAGCAATTTGCTCCTAAGGAACTATGACAATGTCCTCCCAGAGAAGTCACAAGGATATGATTAAACGATCACTCAGGTGTTCGGTGGCACCATCCAGCCTGCCAGGAACGGGATAAAAACACCCTGCTCCATGGCATTAATGATGATAAAAACCCATGTTGGGCTAATCAGCACGAGCCTCCTGCTACGGTAGCCGGAACCACTGGTACCCGGGTGGGGGAGATGAGCGAGCACAGGGCAACCCGCACAGAGGACACTGCCTGGCTGCTCTTCTAGCTGCTCCTACAGTTTACCTGTTCGAGAGTTCGCCACTAGGGGTCGCGCTGCCTCAAATGGGGGCATCTGGCAACAAGGGCGGGTGTTGGTAGAGATCCTGGGCATCTCAGTGGAGATGTAAAGGGGTCGGTGGGCGGGAATGCTCAACTCCTGTAACACCAAGGACTGAACCTGTCCCTGCAACATGCCAGCGGGAGTCCAGCCGGTCAGATGAGGGCTGAGTATACAGGATGACAACCACCACTCTCCTCACCCCTCGCCCCGGGGCTCTCTTGCCTGCAAGACCCCAGACTCATTCCCAGTAACACCAAGGCCCAGATTAGGACCCCATCCTCCCCACTCCTGCAGCTCTGTTTTAGGGGACTTCTTCCTGTTGTTTTGTGTTTTAATCTGAGTACCTTACCAACATTTTAAAACTCAGGAGATTTTGACTCAAATCCAGGTTTGCAGCTGCTCCAGCAACCCTGAAGGAGAGGGATCCCTGGGCCCAGGTTCCCACAAAAACAACTGGCCTGAGCTGAGCAGCTGGGAAGTGAGCCTCCCAGGTGCCCACGGTCTCCACCAAGCTGGCTCCACTCACTGCCCGGCCCCTCCTGGCATCTGAGTTTGCAAGCCCAGCTTAACGCGCAGCCCGAGGCCTGGGGACCAACCACAGTGAACAGACCGTGAACTTCCGTGGGCCCGGGGCAGGCAGCGAAGAGGGGATGCCTCTTTCCAGCCAAACCACACCGCTTTGCCCTCGGTCACCAAACATTGCATCTACCATGGGATTCTTCCAGAGCTAGCACACCAGACTCAAAACAAGTACCGACTTCACATTAAATGACATATTGACCAACTTTAAACATAGACGTGAAACGATCCCACCTTGATCTAATGAGGCATGATTACAGGCTCAGATTCCACAGGCCCGTCAGAGCCTGGATGATCACAGACTGGGCTATTCGGGTGACTAAATGCACAGGCCCTGCCAAGTTCAAGATTTGGCCATGACAAAGCCACCTTCTCCCAGAGCGGCGGCAGGGAGGCTAGAGGTGGTACTTACATGTAGAACTGTTTGCTACAACTCAATCAAGGATGCAATTAAATCAGCGAGTGGAGAAACAGGAGCTAGGATTGCAGATAATATCCCGAGCCTCTGAGTGGAGCCTGCCTGCAGCCCGTTCCTAGGTGAAGCAGAGCCCGCATGCTGTTTAATACATCGAAATGGGGCTTTTATTGGGCTAATAGGAAGAGCTGCCGTTGAGCAACTCATCTTACCGGTTCCTCTGCTGAAGCAATATTAAATACTCATCATGTTTCTCATCGAAGTCAGGCACCATGTCCTTAGCGCAACCCTGAAACGAAGAACAGACTAGGATGATGTCGGAATGCGGCGGAATTATTTACGGAGGCAGGAGGCTGAGCTTGACGAAGGCCCGGCTCCCTGGGTGCATCGCTCAGGCGACCCAGAGCCCCCAGAGATGGTCTGATGGCCCCAAGGGACTTAGACATACACAGTCAACATCTACAGAAAGGACGAGGCTGGTTTCCCGGTCTCAACAGTGTTCGTTCTGTCCATGCCCTGTAAGATCAGGGGCTCTGGCCAAGATCTGAGCTTTGATGTTTTCTCCACGCTCATTATTTAGTTACCTGAATGATCATAACCAGATGTAACCCACATCAGTTGTTTAAGGAGGGGTCTCATTTTCCTCTTATGCATGCTTATTAAAACACAGTTATCACAAAACTATATGACCCAGATGGGGTTCCTTTAAAAGCAGACACTGGTGGGTGCAGGCCTCCTCTTCGGGCAACAGAATTCTAGATTTCCTTTCGAGAATCATTCAGCACCCCCCCCCCCCCCTTTTTTTTAGTTCACTGTCTTCCTAAGAGGCCCTTGAAAGTTCCTTTGTTGGCCTCTTGGGTCACATGACCTTGGCCTTAGCCTCTCAACACTGTGCCCCCCTCCCCCCCAACCCCGTAGCCACAGTGATTCACTGGTCTGAGGATGAGCTGTGGCCCAAGCCAGGCCCTTGAAAGTCAGCCCTGGGATTGTGCTGATCCTCTTGGGGGAAGAGCTGCTCTCTTTCCAGTAGGGGGCTAGGCTGATGAGACGCAGGCCGGAACTGAGAATGAGGCCCATAACTGAGACAGCAGGTGCATCGAGAGATGGAGAGAGATCCTTAATGTCATGATTTGACACCCTGGACCCACTCATGTCTGAAGAAGTGTCTGGACAATTCAGATCTTGCTTTAGAAATTTCTGCTGAGTCTCTGTCATTTGCAGCCAAAAGAATTATGTCATATATACCATAATCTGACCATTAAAGATAACTCCTATTACAATTTTCTATAGCTTTATAGAGGGATAACTAATGTAGACTAAACTACACATATTTAAAGTGACATACGTATATACCAGTGAAACCCCCATCATAACTTGAAATATATCCCCCAGATGTTTTCTTTATCATGTACATACATATTTATAAATACACACACAAACACAGACATTCCTTTTGGGAGGGAAAGAAGGAGAAGAAGAGAGAATCTTAAGCGGGCTCCATCCCCAGCCTGAAGCCTGGCAGGGAGCTCAATCTCACGACCCTGAGATCATGACCTGAACCAAAATCAAGAGTTGGACGCTTAACTGACTGAGCCACCCAGGAGCCCCCACAGACATTCTTTTAAATAAAAACAGGATCATACTATAAACAACGTTTTGCAATTGTCTGTTTTTTTTTAACATATAATGTATTATTTGCCCCAGGGGTACAGGTCTATGAATCATCAGGCTTACACATTTCACAGCACTCACCATAGCACACATTCTCCCCAATGTCCATAACCCAATCACCCTCTCCCTACTCCCCACAATTTTCTTTTTCTTAGATAACTTTTTTTTTTTTTTTTTTTTTTTTTTTTTTGCCAAGGGATGGATTAAAGAGACAATATAGGCTTGGTTCTGGTCACAAGTTACATGGATTAAGTTTTAAATGGCAAGTAAGACATTTGCAATAGAAGTGCAATTTGTATGAAAATCCTAACTGCTACTATGGGGAAAAGAGAAAAGCCCCAGCATTCTCTTCTTCTTAAAATCTGGTTTTAACACCATTATTCTACCATAACCCCAGCCATGTGTGACCCATAACCTCCTTAATCAAATATAACAGTTCTTCCCATGTTCATCCTTTTCAAAGGCTCTGGGCCACAGGGGACTGCTGAGCCCCCGTCCGTCCCCAAATTCTCCTCCTTCAGCTTCTCCAGCTGTTAAAGAGCCTCTCTTCCCTCCTGTGCCTTGTCTGGCTTCCTTTCCTCCTTGGCCTCAGTTGGGGATGGTCACTATCTGTCCATTTCACTCCTCTAGGTCTCTATCCCCGTCTTCTCTTTCCAGTTACAAGGAAATGGGTCCTCTGGATGGAAACCCGAGGTCACTCCTGGTCCAGTGCTGACAGCCCAATCCCCCTTCCTGTCCTCTTTCCTACAGGACTCTTGCTGTTGCTACCTGCTTACCTCTTTCTCATCACCCCACTTCCCATAATACCCCGACATCCCCCTCTCTTTGGGCCCACTCGGGGCCAAAGGATGGCGTACTCCCATCTTCTCCCCCGTCCTGATGTCCCAGACACCGTCTGAGTTTTACTGGGGTTTTCCTGCCGGCTCATCCGGCCCAGCAATCAGGAAGTGGGGACTCCTGCAGAACGTAAGCAAACAATTCAGCAACAGCTGACCCTAATCTCTTACTCCGCCAGCTTCCTGAGATGCCCAGAGAGGTGACTTCTTCCTCTCTGGGACTGAGCCCTGCCTCACCCTGAATGGGAGAAAAGCACGTACAACCTCAGTCTTCTGAGAGCTGCTTGCAGGACACTGGGTCTGGGGAGGACTCTCAGTCCCATCTAGCATAACATGGGTCTGATGTGGCACATTTCCATATCCGCGATTCTCCTTTGATCTTCTCAAGAGCTCTTAGAGTGGTTATTATTACCCCATTTAAGATACAAAGAACCCATCTCATGCATCTTCCGGGAATAGGCATCCTACTCCATGGCCATTTACATAACCATTTTGAAATATCAGAATGACCACTGATATATTATAGTGTGGAATGGACATTCAGTGACATTTGTAGATGAAATACGAGGCCGCAGGGAGACCTCAGCTCGTGAGGTCTGGGCCCTGGGCTTGCACCTCAAACCCTCCCAGAATGCATTTATTTGCCTCTGCCAGGAGGGAGATGTCATCACAAAGGCTTGACTAGCTCGGGCACACGCCCAGCCCCATGCTTTTTCCCTGCTTCTCATACGCTAACCAACACGCACACAGATCAGATCACCTGTGACTGTGTTAACGTGCAGCTCTGACTCAGTAGGACTGGGGAGGGAGGGGTCCACATCTGCATTTCTTTATTTTCTTTAAGGGTATTTATTTATTTGAGTTAGCATGCACGCAGGAGCAGGGGGGAGGAGCAGAGCAAGGAGAAGCAGGCTCCCCACTGAGCAGGAACAACCCCCCCTCCCCCCGGCCACATCTGCATTTCTGACAAACTCCCAGGCAATGCCCATGGGCCACACTTGGAGTAGCAAGTCCTGAGACTAGCCTGCCTCTCATCAGACAGTCTCCGGAATTGAGCTGGGGAGAACATGAGCTTTGAGACGAGGCCTGGCTCTAAGTAGCAACACTGCCCTTAGTTTACTCCTCTGTTAAAATGGGAGTGATAACAGTACCTGTCTGGTTGGATTTTTCTTTCCTGTGTAGGGTTAAACGTGGATTGGAAGCAATAACGGCGGAAAGGACTTCGCACGGTACCCAGTACTTAGAAGGTTCTCAGTGACTATTAGGTACATTTTACATCTATAGAGTTCCATTATTTATTTCCTTATTTATTTTAAGATTTTATTTACTTATTTGACAGAGAGAGATGTTGAGAGAGGAAACACAATTTGGGGGAGAGGCGGAGGGAGAGGGAGGAGCGGGCTCCCCATTGAGAGCCTTATGTGGGGCTTGATGCTGGGATCATGACCTGAGCCAAAGGCAGATGCTCAACCACTGAGCCACCCAGACCCCTGAGTTCCACTATTTGAAAAGCGCTATCTTGACTCCTCCCCACCTTTGCGCATCCTACCCCGCCCACCTTAATTATTCTACTCTCTGTTCCAGAAATCCACTTCCTTCCCTCCAGCCTCCATCCAAATCCTCTCCAGGTCCCAGCTGAGTTTCCAAAGTCTCCATGAAGCCTTTCCTTTCCATTCTCGCCCCACTCCCTTCACCTCAGTCCCAAACCCTGCAATTAGCATTAAATTATATACAATACGAGGCACAACCGTGCATAATTAAAGGCTAAGTTGTTAGCATTTAACTATATACATTGCTCACTAATTATCTGGGGATCTGGAGACTTGGGGGTGAACCCTGAACTCCACTTACCTTTGCTGAGCCTCTGCTGCTCTCGTCTGTAAAAGGCGGGGGGCGCTAAGAATAAGTTGTACTTCACAGGGCAGCTTGAAGGCTCAACTCAGAGAAAAGCAAAAGTGACTTAGGATCCTTTTCTTTCCTCTTCCCAACTCTCTGGGGCAGATTATAAATTCTGGGAGGGCACAACTATGGGGAGGCAGGGGGAAGAGCCTCAGCCTTACCACCATCCAGCTGTCGGGTGGTAAGTGCTAGGGCTGGCTAAGCACCAGCTCGGGTCCCCCCACTCCAGCCCTGGTCAGATGCCAGACACTGAGTCTACCCAGCATTACCCGCTTCACTTTGGGGAGGCTTTAAGTGTACAGCTAGAAGATGGAGGCCTTTACAATGAAAGCACCCCAAGAAGGTGTGAGAAGCTCATGAAGGGCCAACTGTATCCTTATGGTCTTGCAGCAAACACGTGCCAGTGCTTAGCCTCAGACCCAGCGTTTGTACATGGTGAGCACCTACCAGCCGTGCTCAACCACTTGTCAGGGGCCTGCTCTCCATGGTCCTGCTGGGCTTGGGACGAATGCTTTACATGCAGTCACGCAAACACGCGGTCCTGGGGGTCCCTAACTTTGGGGGATGGCCTGCAGGGGGCGCTAGGAACACCCATTTGATTGCATGCAAGCAGGCACTCTGGGAAGAACATCAGTCATTTTCAACAGATTACCAAAGGCATCCAAGACCCCCGAAAATGAGACAAATGACCATAATGAAATGTATAAAAATGGGATGCCAAAGATTTGAATGAGGGGCCTGGGACGGCTCCCCAGGGCACGGCCAGGCCCCAAGTCTCCAAGGGAAACCAATGGATACCGCAAACCTGACCACTTCTCCTCGCCTCCCCGCCACCGCTGTGTGTCACAGCCCCACTCCCACTCTCCGCTAATACCCTACACCT